ATCCTGAGGAAAGAGGGCTAAACATATATACACTTTTGTATATACTCTTTGTAGACACATCGAGGACTTTGGTGGATGAAGGGGGTTAGTTTTATGTTATGAGTATACCCCCATCTTAGAAAGTTCAAGACTAGTTTCACTTATCTAAGAGAAAGATTGCTCATCATCACTATGTACTAGTTCCAGATACGTTCACTAGTGCTTAAGCAACTAATCTCGCCATTGCTCTTCTCGTGTTTTAACTTCATTGCTCTCATCTTTACGAAAGAATTCTTTCGCATTAGTGGGGGAATGTTGATAATGCTCAAATTAGGTTATTCCACTAGTATTAGAAATATGCTAAATTAGGTTATCCCACTAGTATTGCAAATATGCTCAAATTAGGTTATCCCACTAGTATTGGAAATAAAGATTTTTCCCTCACTATTTAACCTATAAATATTGAACAATTTCATTCATTTTGAGATATCCCAAGCAAACATTTGCTTTGAAATACTCCTCTCTTTTGAGTGTTGTTTGAGTTGAGAGAAGAGCAATACCACCAAGTTCACTCCAGTTTTCGGGTGTACGAATTCTTGGAGAGCCGTGTTAACCTCGGGGAACGGTCCGCCTACTGCAGCGATTACACAAATCAGGGCGAATTCTTTTATAAGGTTGTGGTTTTACCACGACACGGTTTATGAATCTATTTCTTTTAAATTACTATTTATCTTTCTTGTCAATGCTAACGGTGTGATTTTGCAGTCTATATTTCCAACAGTCGTTGTCCACTCCACACCAACTTATTATTAGACATCAAACAATAAAAAACAATGTTATGAATGTTGTCGGCAAAGGGCAATCATTAATAAGGAAGAAAGTCCCCTCCTACTGCTTACTTACACAGTTTACATCTTTCTTTTGGCACAAAATTTAACAACATTGACCTTTCAGTTTTATTTTTTAAAATTTTATATCATATAAGTTATTAATTTGTATTTTTTATTATAATTATAACGTATAAAAATATATGAATTTAAGTGGGTTGAGAACCTTTTCAAAAACATTATAATAATTTAGGCAATACATTGAGACTAAAATGGTAGTATTTGATAAAAACAATAACATTTATATGTGAGATATTAGTCGACTTTTAAGATTTTTGAAAAGAAAAAGAAGAAAAAAACAAGGATGCGTATCAGCTGATGTTCATTTATACAATAATAGATATCATATATCATATATATATTGTACAAACAAAAAAGAAAAAAGTGGTAATAGATAATTATTATTACCAAGTACAACATTAGGTGGACAAAAAAACTAGTTTGTCTTCTTTGGAACATCCTCATTTCCCCCATCTTTATAAGCACTTGGGCTGTTGAAAATTGAAACCATGGTCAGGAGATGATGTAGAATGGAAGGGAAGAGGAATTTGGTGGCATACATGGGAAGTTCAGGCATCTGCTGCTACTTTTTTTTTCTTCTTCTGGTTTTTAATCTATATATAAGTAGACCATGAAATGTAATTCAATTACTTGGAACTGAATATTAAGTTGCTGCAAATTTTCTTTTCCTTGTAAAGTAGATGGTAGATGCATTTACCCTGAAAATATTGAGAAAGATGTTGTTATGGTAAGGCTCCATGACGATTTCCTTAGTGTTTGATGGTAGAGAAACGTTGTTTGCCTTTAATATTGGAAATGCAGAACATTTATTCATGTTGGACAACACTAATTGTCCTAAAAAGCTTAAACCTGATTAATGAAAGATGGCCATACCTTACACAAGAAGCAAATAGACTTGGATAGATGCTGATGGAAAAATGACAGATTTTCCTTGCAATAGATTCGTCGTAGGTAGGGGTGCACAAAAAATCCGAATATCCGAATATCCGAAAAAAATATCCGAAACCGGTTTTGGGAAAAACCGGTTTTTTTTAACCGGATCGGATTTTTTTAAACCGGTTATTTTAACCGGTTTCGAGAAAAAAAACCTAGACCGGTTTTTTTACCGGATAAAAAACCGGTTTGAAAAAACCGGTTAAAAAACCGGTTTTATCCGAAAAAAAAAAACCGGTCTGGGTTTAAAAAACTAGCCGTTAATATAGCCGTTTGTGACCGTTTTTGACCGTTTTTTTCTTTAAAAAATTACCATTTTACCACCTAAACATGTATAAATAGGTTGGGGATGTATTTGGTTGATTACAACTTTCTCAAATCTTATTACACAACACTTAAACATCTCTCAATCTTAGTTTTGTAATTTTTTATTCATCATGAGTACACTGCTGAATCTTCCGTCGGGGGGAAACCTTGAAGTCGTGAGAGTGATCGACACACTCGAAACAAAGATTTGGGATCACTACGATTTATGTGAGATGTCAAATGGTCGAGGAGGGCGCGTTGTAAACTTTGTCTAAAGTTTCTTGCATCGGAAGGAAACAACGTTGAAGAACCATTTGACAAAATCATGCAAGGCACTTCGCTCAAGATCGGATCCTAGTCAATCGAATCTTACACCGCAAGGTGGTGTTTTTGTTTACGACAACGAAAAATTACGAGAAGCGTTTACAAAGTTCGTGATTACAAAAGCATTGCCGTTCGACCACTTTGATGATGAAGATTTCACGACAACAATTCAACAACTAATGCAACCACGTTATACTCAAGTAGTCGTACTACCTTAGAAGAGATGCTATAAAAATGTGGCGTACGGCGAGGGAAAATGATTTTAGGATTCCAAGAACACCGTTATGGTGTGTCGCTTACATGTGACGTTTGGAGTTCCCTCATAATACCGGAAATTCTTTTTTAGTTACGTCACATTGGTTAGATCAAGATAATTGGCAAATGATGAAAAGAACAATCGCGTTTGAATTATTCGGTGAGCCGCATACCGGTGCTAATTTATTTACACTTTTAAAACGGGTAATTTGTCTTTATAAATTAGAAATAAAGTTTTTTCTATATCTTTCGATAATGCATCGAATAATACAAACGCGGTTCCAAGATTGAAAATATTACTTTCACGATTTTAGACGGTGCGTTTTTTCATACCCGTTGCGTTGCACACATAATTAATTATCCGTGCAAGCCGGTTTGGAGGTTGCTACCCGACTAAATGACTTTGAATTTGAAACCGAAGTTTTTCAAGAAATTGGCTTTGCAATGAAGGAAAAACTTTTAAAATTTTAAGGAGATTCCCCCCATTTTACTTGTGCCGCCGCTTTAAACCCAACGTTAAATATGGTGGGGTTGAAACACTAATTGAACAAATTGCGTTTGCTTTTAATCTAACCGATGATGAACCCAACTTTGTCCAAAACCAAATAAATTATTTTAACAAATGTTTTCGAGACATGTTTGCAATTTATTTAAATAAATACGGATCAAGTAGTGTAATACATCAAATGAGAATGAATGCGGAATCATCTAGTAGACGTCCAAGTAACATAATTGAATCTTTTTAACACTCTTGTAAATTCCCAATCCAAACGATCACGTACTACCCCCAAGTAGCGAGTTGGGAAATATGTCATGCGCGATTTTCTATCAAAAATGACATTTGAAGAGTTTGAAAGTTTGGATATTTTGGCTTGGTGGAAAGAAAAGGAAGCACAATTTCCGCTAGCCATGGCCCGTGATTTACTAACCGTCCAAGCTTCTACGGTAGCTTCGGAATCCGCTTTTTCTGTTAGTGGCAGGGTTATATCGCAACGGAGATCAAGACTAAGTCCAGAGTCGGTGGAAGTATGCATTTGTTTAAAGGATTATTTGGATGGAGCGCTCGTAAGCAACATATCACCACCCTAGAAGATGCAATTGATGCCGATTTGGAAGCAAACTTACACATTGAAGAAGTCAAACTTGGAATATCCCTCCAAACGAAGAAGGCGAAGATGATGAAGAAGAGATGGCAATGTAGTTTATTTTATAACTTTATTTCAATTATCGTAAACTTTGTTTCAATTATCGACTTGAAGTTTTAAGTATTTGAATTTCGAACTTGGTTTTTAAGTATTTGAATTTATCAACTTGGAAGTATTTAAGTATTTCAATATGTTGAGTTATAAAGTATTTCAATTAAGTATTTGAATTTATCGAACTTGAGGTTTGATGCTTCTCTTTGATTCTCTCTTGATTCTAGTTGCTTGATGTTTCTTGTCTTTGATCAATGACTTCTAAGCTTGCTTAAATACACCTTGAATCACTTCTGAACGTTAGTGATAATTAATGAAGATAATATAGCCGTTTAAGTGTGAAAACATTTAATAAAAATGCTTAGAGCGTGGGGGAATCGGTACCCTCTCATAGGGAATCAGTTCCCTAAGTGTAAAATTCAAATATTTCGACCGTTGAATAGGGGGGAATCGGTACCCCTATGGGGGAATCGGTTCCCTCCGAGCATTCTGGAAATCTCGGAGCCAAACCATTCAGTGAGGAATCGGTACCCCTTGGGGGGAATCGGTTTCCCTATGAGCAATCTGGAATATTAAAACGGTTTTTTATAACCGGTTTTTTAAAAAAACCGGTTTTTTTAAAACCGAAACCGGTTACACCGGTTAGGATATCCGGCCCTCCAAACCGGTTAGAAACCGAACCGGTTATTTTATAAACCGGTTTTGTTTCTATGGGAAAAAACCGGATCGGATAAAAACCGATCCGGATCGGATTGAAATCCGAATTATGTGCAACCCTAGTCGTAGGAGATAAAGGAGAGTGAAGAATACAACATGGGATAATTCAACACCTTCCCACTTCTCTTTTTCTTCGCAAGACAAATTCAAATCATTGTGAACCTCATTTAGATAATAAATTGGGGTTCGAACCCCATTCCTGCTTAAAACTCGCTACTGTAAGTCAGTCTACCCAAGTCTCAGCTCAGTTGTTCAAAACTGATAATTAACAGACCAATTTCAAATTCCATTCAGAGTAGAAACTAAAATGTTGTTTCTTGGAGGCAAAACGAAACATGAAACTTTAAGATGAGATGGGAAGGCCACTAATTGAAAACAAAAATGAAAGAGGAACGGTCATTTCTTCTATGAAACAAAAGCACCATTCGCTGAAATTGTGCCGAGCCGGTGGACATTTCTATTGCCAAAAACAAAAACAAAAAATATGGAAAAGGAATAATCATTTTTCTATGAAACAAAGGTTGGACGTATTACAAACCAGATAGATCAAAGGACCCTCCATCACCATAAAACACGGACCATGATCTACCCTTCTTTCAAATGCCTTTTATCTGTATCCATCGGCTTCTCAGGGGTGTCAGTGTCTTCGCCACCTCCATGACCTAAACAACAGGTAAACCTTGTTATTTTATTCATACAATCTTTTCAGATTGCACGTGTATGCATAAATGGAAACTCGTGTATTTTTATCTTATCACAGATAATTTGGTTGTATAGTTCGTGTCAATTAAAATTGAGGGTGCATCATGGCATACCTTAAAATTGTTAGCGTCTAGGCCTTGGCTGGAACCGAAATTCAGCTAATAGTGCTATATGATCAGATGACCACTCTGGAGAAGGAAGTGCTGTGTCCTTCCTCAAGCTATCCTCATCCAAGAGTTCCAGTAAGGACTCCACTGTTAAAGAGTCCGCTGAAAGCACATGACAGACATGCAACTGCATTAGCCTAAATATCAAACATCTAAGTAGACAAGAATCTCAGGGATGAGGCGTTCAAGATAATTTATAATTTGTACATGCACTATCCTATCATTCAAGTGTTCTGAAATAATTACCCACCTGTGTAAAATATGTAATCCAGGGTGCCGATAAAATCTCTTGTGCAGTTTGTGAATAAAGGTTCATTAGTTGTCATGTCCATTTTCCTTCTCTGATGTTCCAAACCAAGACCAACACCTCTTGCAAAGGGTGAGTAGGCACTAACCTGTTTAGAGAAACAAACTTTGTCAAACACAACCCTTGAATAATGTATAATCCTAGCCTCTTTCTCCATTGAAGACTGTATCAAAAAATTGTTATCAATGATGGTAAGGAAAAAAACGTAAGCTTTCTATGGAAATGGTAAAGAGAGTTTACCAGTGGTAACTGATGAGTCAACTTGCTATGAGGACGCAAAATTGCAAGAGGGTCTACCAATAATTCTGGATGCAGTGGATCTACCTTCCCCATACCAAGAAGTGAATGGGGAGCACTGTGCAAAAATATATTTAACTTCGAAAAAGTCTAATACAACAAAATGGATCTCAAACACCAAATGATCTAACATTGGGTAAAGGATACTAGGGTTACCTCCCAGGAACTGAATTAAAATCACCACACACCAACATTGGAATGTCTGCCTAGCAGCTATTTTCTCAATCCCTTTAAGAGAGTATGCACCTAAAATATTAAAAGAACAAAAAAATTAGTAAATTGTTTGAGAACGCATGTATGTATAAATAGATATACAGATTAAAGAAAAAACTAAAACCTGCCAGATTTTGACATCCTTCAACTCTGGTGGAACATTTACATGTGTGTTTGCCTGCATTCCAAAACCAGGAATAGAATGAATAGTTGTACATAAAATGAAGAGTTGCAAACAATATAATAAATATGTAAACTGTATTTAGATAAGTCAACTTTCATGAATGTAAAGAACAGCCCAACTTCGAGAAGAATGTGCATGGCTAACATTTCCATGCCACATTTGTAAAATAAAACACCAAATGATCTAACATTGGGTAAAGGATACTAGGGTTACCTCCCAGGAACTGAATTAAAATCACCACACACCAACATTGGAATGTCTGCACTAGCAGCTATTTTCTCTAATCCCTTTAAGAGAGTATGCACCTAAAATATTAAAAAGAACAAAAAAATTAGTAAATTGTTTGAGAACGCATGTATGTATAAATAGATATACAGATTAAAGAAAAAACTAAAACCTGCCAGATTTTGACATCCTTCAACTCTGGTGGAACATTTACATGTGTGTTTGCCTGCATTCCAAAACCAGGAATAGAATGAAATAGTTGTACATAAAATGGAAGAGTTGCAAACAATATAATAAATATGTAAACTGTATTTAGATAAGTCAACTTTCATGAATGTAAAGAACAGCCCAACTTCGAGAAGAAATGTGCATGGCTAACATTTCCATGCCACATTTGTAAAAATAAAAATTGAAAAGTAATTAAAGAGACTAAAAGAACCAAAACGCATACCAAATACAATACGATAGAGAGAGAGCACAGAATCTATCTAATCCAATTGGCATTTGGTTAGTCATAATATAACATGCAAAAGTTTCATGGGATTTTGTTACTTAATCTATGTTAGTCAAACAGAGGGTGTGTGTCAAATACGAATGTGTCAAACACAGGTATGGTCAGATTTTTCTAAGATTTTGGATTAATTTGAAGGATCCTTAAAAGTCATATCCCCATGCCTATAAGTCAAACATGAGTGTCTCACATGGGCACTTTAACAAAAACGAAGATTTGGAGCATAATAGCTTCTAATTGCTAGAATGTGCTTACTTTCACAATAAAACTTTCTAGGAGAACAATCTAAAGGACTAAAATCATATTTATTCAAATATAGGTACACTCCTTAACCATCTAGTACATTACACTGGTTTCTGCAGCACAACCAGCCTTACACCTGCTGCCTACAAAGTGATTCACACCTGTAATCGGATCTACAGCCTGCATACAGACCAACTGCAGGACTATATAGCAACAAATCATGCAGTTCCATTTCTATGAAACCATCTATACACTCCTCTTACAACAAGTTGTGCTATAGGCTCAGTTAGAGCTAGCATAAGACAAAACTCAGGTAACATAGAACTTGAATTCAATCCGGCCAGGCTAAACATACTCCGAAACTACCCTTCTTCAAAACAGATGCGGCATGATTAAATCATGTTCAACTTGCCAACAACCCAATAAAAAAGCTTGAACAAAATGCTTATCAATCATCACTGGTCATGTGATGTCATGTTTTGACAATTAATTTTTTTTTTATAGGAATAGGAGATCTCATTAAAAACTTCCTTCTTAGTTGGCTCTCGTGGAAGAGGCAACATCGGAAGGAGGAAAAGAGTACCTCATCTTATTAATAAACCAAAATTACATAATCTTACATCATAACTTCCAAAATAAAATACAAACCAAACCAATCATATAGCTATAATCATCAACCAATTCCCTCCTTAGCTAACTTATCTGCCTCCGAATTGCAACTCCTAGGAATCCATCTAACAATAATACCCCTAGCAGAAACTAAGGTCCCAATTTCCCCAACCAAAGTACTGAGAAACGTAGGGGCAGAAACTGGTGACAGAATCCAATCAACTTCTGATTTACAATCAGACTCTATGATTAATCTTCCTTTCGAAGCCCATTCAGACGAAAGGAATAGATCAATTCCTTGTTTAATAGCCTTCAGCTCAGCTAACATAGGAGGACCAGGACCCACCGCTATAGAAAACGAGTTTAAAATATTGCAATTCGAATCTTTCAAGACTCCACCAATTCCACCCTACAGCCCATCACCTCTCACTGCTCCTTCAACATTGAATTTAAAGAAATCTGTAGGAGGTGGAGACCAGTAGATAGCCTTCTTCGATTTATAGAAAATAGAGTGAAATGTATCTGCCAACGTTGGATCTCCTACTAGTATGTCAACCTGAATATTAGCATTAGGGAATTTCGCTAAAAACCATTTAGCTAATCTAACCCTGGAAATGAAGAACAAAGAAGAAGTATCTAGTTTCTAGTTCTCAAACACCATTGAGTTCCTAGCTTTCCATAAAGACCATAAAACGACTCTTGGAATAAACTTCCAAATAGTAGACTGCTCCCTTAGATAAGACCAGGAACAAAGAAGGGAAGAAGGTTCTTGAGGCATAACTGAAGAGATATCCCATAGTCTTAGAAATCTATACCACAATTCCTCTGCAACCGAGCACAAAATAAACAGATGATGGATTGTTTCCTCATATTTATGACATAAAGGACACAGAACATCTTCTATCGAAATCCCTCTTTTCTTCAATTCCACTCTAACCGCCAATTTTTGATGAGTAATCTGCCAAAGAAATGTTTCTACTCTAGGAGGAGCCATTCCTGACCACACCCATTTCTTCCACTGAAAAGGAGTTCCCATTCTACTTGAAATAGTGAGTCTACCCGATTTTGCCGAATACACGCCTTCGCCTTTCCCCGACCAAGCTAGAAAATCCTCCATAGATTCATTCAAGACAATATTATGAATCAAACTCATTAACGCACACCACTGCTCAAACTCCCAATCACAAAGATTTCTCCTTAGTGTAATATTCCAAACCCATCCATTATTTTCAAAGGCACCAAATTCAGCCACTTTACCCCTTTTATTAGTAGAAAGGGCAAAAATCCTAGGAAATTGTATCTTTAGAGAAGATCCATTGACCCAAATATCATTCCCCACTTGTAACTTCGAGTTGGACCTCAAGTAGCATAGAAGAATAAAAACAACAATTTTTACCACACAGAGAAGCTGTCGTTTCCCAAGATTGTCAGATCCTTGATTGCTAAACTTTGCTTCCAAAACGACAATTAAAGCAACATTATCCTGCAGACAGAAAATTTTACATGATATTATTATAAAAGTATGTACTGTAAGAGAATGGATACAGATCCAAATTAGTTATAATCGATTTAATACCTTAACCAAACGATTTAAAGCAGCTTTTTTCTGAGTAGTTTGAACTGCAACCTCGGTCAAGGATTGAGCTGCCTTATTAAATTCAACCTGCAAAAGACATGATTTACTTTAGCATTGGAAAAATATGCATAAATCCATATAGAATATTAGAAATACTTCCAAACCTCATATTTTTTGACATGGGAAAATCTATCCCTACGGAAAAAAGTAGCACAACCATCAATTGTATGGATATTTCCACCATAAACCTGCAGTATAAACAACATATATTATTCATAAGTGTAACGACGAAATCATTGAGATGAGAACCTTGGGAGTTCTTAAGCAACCTCATTTGTCTTCCTCTTGTACAAAGCTTGATACCCATGTTTGTCCAGCTCAAGGGCAAAAAATTCCTCAAAATGATCATTTTGCACCTGAAAAGAAGATAACAATTGGTATTTAGCCACACACAATGTTCATCTAGATGACCAAAGGCTGAAGCTGCTTTCTTGCTAATGATGAGTTGAATGCACCTAAAGAAATTCTGGCCTACAAAATTATTTCTCATTTAACTGTTGCCTCTTTTTTTTTTTTGGGGGGGGGGGGGGAACTCCTTACTTTCTTAACAAAGATGGAGCAAGAGTGAAATAATTTCCTTATTAGCATCACTCATCGCCACTTTCACTCTTAGATCAACCAATTGTGGGAAATAAACTCTTTTAGGGATACACACATATATAATGATGCTTTGTATCTAAAAGTAAAAAAAGGGATACAAATGAACATAAACCTACATCTAAATTAAAATTGAAAAAAGTGCACAAGCTCTATATCTCCACCCAAAATGTAATAGCAAACATTGACCATAAAAGCGATTTTTTATCATGCAACAAACTTCAAAGCTGTTTTCCAGTTCAAAACATTTCTAAAATGTTGCTATCACCATTCATCAGATATTAACTGAAAGTATCACCTCTTGAAGACAGACTATGTCTGCACGATAACCAACAATTTCCCGCAACAAATTCTGCCTGCGATATGGCCAAGAAAGAGCCCATGAAGGACAATAACTGTATAACTCACTGCTGGCATACGAGTCAGACAAAATGTTGTACGACAGAACTGTAAAAGTTCCAAAGGATGAAATACAGCCATCTGAATCAAGCTGACCCATCATATCAGCTCCACTTAGTGGGATCAAACGCCGAGGAATAGGAGAAGGAGCAGGAATAACACGAGATGTCAAAACAGTATTGGGATGTCCAACACGTAGTTTCGTTTCAGCATCAACGACGACACACTCAAACTTGAGAACATGGCCAATATCATCTACTGAGGGTGTATATGTTTTAGAGCGTCCAACTTCAAACCAGGTTTCACCACTACTCCTCTGTGTAACTGCACCAGGATACAGAGGTGTAGAACCATTTGTCAAGCTAGCACTTGATGCTGAACCAGATAAGCTAGAATTAATAACTCCAGACCCTGTGCTATTGAAACGGCCAAATATCTCTTCCTCTTCATTTCCATTTTCATTTACAGCACTTGCAGCATGGTCATGCAGAACACGATGATGCTGCCACGCATCTGAGAAGCACTTAGGAGAGCAATGGTAACTTTTAGCAACAGGTATTTTAGCCTTAAGACAACCTAGGCACTGCAATGTGGCTTCCTCAGATGGATGTACACTACAGACAGCAACTTTTTTATCACTTTGTATGCGATACCTGCGAAACAGAACCAAGAAAGGAACATTTTGCATTAGACATGTAATATAAATGGAAAAATTGAAACAGTCAACCTTTTATACAAGTTTCCAATTAATTCCCAGAAGCAGACAAATGAAAAGATCTTAAACCACAACAAAAAGTGCACAAGATAACGTCAACATAATCCCTTTTCCAGAACAAGAATCCAGCAATTACAATAAGAATGCACAATATCCTCCTCAAAATTCTTCAGTGAAACTACAAGGGACCCAAAGTATGTCTCTCTCATTAACATAGTGGTTAAAGATTTTTGTCTTGAAGTGAACAAATCTAAATATCATTCAAGGAATACTAAATCAATTCAATTTTATTACTACTTGCTACATGTAAACTGATGTAATTGCTTAATGCGTGATTTTCTAGGATCTTTTGTGATGAAACATATGGAAATCACTGCAACATCCTATTACCTTCCAAGGCACCAGAGCATCTCTGATAATTTCCAGAATGTAACTAGACTTACTTTCAAATAGAAAAGGCTGAAATAGGTAATAAATTATTAAATGCCTCATTACCACCTTTTTAGCCGTTAATGGGTGATCACTATACATCCACATCCGCTCTTGTAGCTGGATGATTCCTTCTTTTTATAACCAACATTTTAAATGCACCACTTTTCAAACCAACATTTTATATGTAGTACTTCTCAATCTAACTTGAAACATTCTAGCAAACTTCACAGAGAAAAAAATGCCAGGGTGGTCACAATAATAATACCACTCATAGAACATTCTAGCTTGAAAAGCCTATTTTTCATGGCATATTTTGCAACTATGAAGTGTCATTCCAATTCAAGCAGAGACAGCAGATAACAACAGGGAGGTGGATAGCAACAAGCCAAAAACTTATAAACATCAACTTCATACATTCCCCAATGTAAGTATTCACAACCACCTAACAAAGAAGTGTCATACACTGTATTTAATAAAACAAATAACAATCAAATAAAATCACAAACAAAAAACTAGATCAAATCCAATTGGTCAAAATGAGAAGTTTCCTTAATGCCAACATAAAAATGGTTTCTTTAAATTTTATTCAAGCTCATTCGGGTAAAAAATTAGTATAAGATTAAATCAAACCCCAATTCGCTCCCTCCCCCAACAAATAATACAGAATGCTATTGAGGGATTTAAGAAGGCTTACCACTTGTACCTCAGGAAGTGACCATCAAGAGGGGATGACTCAGGTACGTCATCGGTGGTAACGGTCTTGTCAGGTCGGCGTAAGAGCAAGTAAGGCGTGAGCTCGCAGCCAACAATTGGTATATCAGAAGGAAGGTGCACCCGTAGCACGCTCAGCATGCTTCAACTTCCGCGGCTTCCTTTGTCACGGTTCGCAACGATCACCGGTGTTTAAGCCTGTCAAAACCAATCCCACACTAACACTATCAGCAGAACAAGATATGACCTCGAAAATATAAGCAATCCTATCGGGGCGGAGACCAGGCGGATCCGCCATTTACTTGAACCAAGCACCCGCCAGCCTTGATCCAAAATCACCCTTTTCCTTTAAATCAAACAAACCTAGTTTAATATTAAGAATAAAATACGAAGCTAACAACAGATCTTGTAACAAACTTTAGGGTTCCGAAAAGAATTTATCCAAGGAATGGGCAAAGGGGGAAACGAGAGATGGAATGGTAATTAGGGTTTTACAGACGAAATGAAAATATTAGATTTATATCAAAAGAGAGAAAACTATAATAAAAAATAATTGAAAAGAAAAAAAGAAAATAGTAGTAATTAGTTTACAGAAAATAATAAATATGGATAGATTATTCAGAAGTGGGAGGTGTCGCGGCGGAGCGATGGCGGAGGTATGGCGGTGCAGACAAGGATGGCTTTGTTTGGGTTTCCCCTCATTTATTGGGAGCTTAGCACTTTATATTAAGATCAAATGCAAGGTTGCAATTGCTTTTCCTTTTTATCTTTAATATTTTTATTTTTGGCTAAACTACGATTTGAGCCACTAAACTTTAGCATTTCTTCTTTTTCTTATCCAAATTAGAGGTAAATAAAGAAATTGAGTAAACTAGAATGTTTGGACGATTTGAAAAATGGTTAGTTAAATCAAATTTTAATTTTATTTCTAATTAATTTTAATTTTTATAATAATAAAATAATTAATTTATATTTAGAATAGTGAAAATAATTTTAAAATATTTATTAATTATGTTTTATTTATTTAAATTTAAAGTTTTTATAAATATTTATGAAAAAAGATATTGAAACAAATTATCTTCATTAAAAAAGTCAAAATCTAAAATTAATATATAAAAATTAAAATAAATCGAATACAATTATGTGTTAACTTATTAGTGATAACTCAACTATTTAGTCATTTTACTTTTATCACCGATCTTTTAATTTTGTCAATCAGATCACTAAATTATTTAATTGTTCACAATCAAGCTACTTGTCATTAACATTTAACAGATTAGGTGATGTAATAGTTAAATATATTGGTACAATCACATATCTAGTCCTTGTTATTTACATATTCTCTCAATTTAGTCATATTTTTAATAAATTAAAATAAATTTAATCATTCAATCGAATGGTGACACGTGTTAGGAAGATTAAATTTATTCTAATTATATATATTTATTTTGTACCGATAAAAGGGTGATCAAACCTAAGATGATGGGTAACTTACCAAATACCCAACCACTACGCTAAGGCACTACTTAGTTTGAGATTCACAAAGATACAAGGAGGCAAAGCGGGAAGCCAGGAAAAAGTGGCTAAAGCAAAGGATAAGGCATACGAGGAAATGTACAAGAGATTAGACACCAAGGAAGGGCAAAACGACATCTTTAGGCTTGCAAAATCCAGAGAAAATAGGAAAAATGATCTAAGTAACATTAGGTTTATTAAGGACAACAATGATGTTCTTCTAATGAAAGATCATGATATTAAGAGGGTTTGGGGTAGTTACTTCTTTGGCTTATTTAATGACGGTGCATTTCCCTGTAGAGATAGTATCGTTGATGGGTCAGCCGACCATCATCCTGCGGCCAATGAATGCCCTACAAGTAGGATTGGGTTTGAGGAAGACAAAATGGCTATTAGAAAGATGGGGAGGGACAAAGCTGTAGATCCATATCAAATTCCTATCACTATGTGGTTGGCCCTAGGAGAAGAGGGAGTAAATTGGTTGGCCAACATCTTTAATATTATTTTAGAGACTGCCAAGATGCTAGAGGAGTGGAGAGAGTCTACGGTGATACGAATCTATAAGAATAAAGGAGATCCCCAATGTTGTGGCAACTACAGAGGTATTAAACTACTCAGCGATACCATGAAGCTATGGGAAAGGGTGATAGAGGTTAGGTTGAGACAAGTTACTAGGGTTTCGAAAAACCAATTTGGCTTTATGCCAGACAGGTCTACTACGGAGGCGATTCATCTACTTCGACGGCTTATGGAGAAATATAGGGAAAAAATAGAGATCTTCACATGGCGTTCATTGACACATTGAGAAGGTGTATGATAGAGTTCCCCGCGATACGATCTGGAAGACCTTGGAAACGAGACAGATCCCAACTGCTTATATCAGAGCGATTCGTGATATGTACTGTAGATCTACTACTTACGTCAGGACTACAGTTGACGACACTGAGGCATTCCCGGTGGAAATTGGACTCCACCAGGGGTTAGCTCTTAGCCCTTACATCTTCGCCTTGATTATGGTCGACATCTATTGTGCGACACTAGACGGTGTTCCATGGTGTATGCTTTTCGCTGACGACATTGTCCTAGTTGTCGAAAAAAAACTGAGTTGAATAGAAGACTGGCTGCCTGGAAGACTGCTTTGGAAGTAAAAGGCCTAAGGATCAATATTGAAAAGACAGAGTATTTATGTTCAAACTTCAGTGAAAATAAAAATGATGAAGATGTAGAAGTATGTATAGAGGGACACGTTATCCCCTCAAAAGAATGTTTCAAGCACTTAGGGTCTATGATACATAAAGATGGGGGTGTAGATGATGACGTTACACATCGTATAAAGGCGGGATGGCTAAAGTGGAGGGTTGTTGCTGGAGTTTTGTGTGACAAGAAGGTGTCTCTAAAACTTAAGGGAAAATTTTATAGAATGGCTATAAGACCAGCGCTGTTGTATGGATCAGAATGTTGGGCAATCAAGAAGGATCACGTAAGGAGGATGGAGGCTGCAGAAATGAGAATGCTACAATGGGCACGTGGTATAACTCTGTGGGACATGACACCAAACCCTGCTATTAAGATGTCCTTAGGGGTGGTGCCTGTATCCGAAAAATTAAGGGAGGGAAGACTACGGTGGTTTGGGTATGTCCTTAGGCGACAACCGTCGGATGCGGTCAGGAGGGTAGAGTCGATTACACTCGACAGTGCCAGAAGGAGAGGAAGACCAAGGCGGAAGTGGGAAGACTGCTTGAGAGCTGATTTGAAGGATTTAGCCATTACTGAGGACATGACCTCTGATAGGAAAGTATGGAGACTTAAGACCAGGGTAGCCGAGTAGTGCGGGTCATAGATATAGGGTGTAACATCTCTATCTTCTTTTTAATGCCTTTGTAATAATTTCCTTGACTTATACTTTATATACGTTTCTATCATTAGAATTTATGAAGGCTTAGAACTAGGGTAGTAGAGTAGTGTTGCCTTAGTTTAGGTTTTTAACCCATTAGACTTTATTCCTTCTCGTAGCTTGCTACCGTTGACTATTGTGTATCATTCTCTTCAGGTTCCCTCTTTTTAAATTTAGTTGGGTCTTATGTTTCTGTCTATATGTAGATATTTTAATTCTGGGATTTATTAACAAGGATTACTTACCATTACAGACGTACATATGAGGACTGCATATGAAGATTGTTCAACTATGCATTTATTTATTTATTTATACATGCATTGCATTTTATCTTTATCTTTAATTTGTTGAATGCCGGAGGTCTTCCACGGAAGCTGTTCTCAACCCTAGCGTTGGGGGCAGCCTACTACCCTACCTCCCCCTTACCCCATTATACATGGGAATAGGGTTTTGTTGGTGTTGTTGTTCTATATAACTTTAACGTTAGTGTATTAATATTCTTAATATTGTTTATATATTAACTTAAAAAATAATTTTTTTTCTTAACTTGTTAAATATATTTTATACTTACATTCAAAAAAATATTTTATTCTTAACTTAATTAAAAATATATTTTATTATTATATTGATTTTGCAAAATATATTTTATTCTCATTTAAAACTTTTAAAAATATATTTTATTATTATATTGATTTTGCAAAATATATTTTATTCTCATTTAAAACTTTTAAAAATATATTTTATTATTATTTTAACTTTTGAAAGTATATATTTTATCTTACTTTATTAAATATATTATACTATTACTTTAAATTATTAAATATATTTCATTTGTATCTCAACTTTAAAATATTTTAATCTTATTTTAATTTAAAAAATACTTTATTCATATCTTAACTTAAAAATATATATTTTATTCTTATTTTAACTTTAAAAAATATATTTCATTCTTAACTTATATATATATATATAATCTTAATCTTAATTTAAACATATTTTTAACATATATTTAATAAAGTTAAAATAAAAATAAAATATATTTAATAAATTAATATAAAAATAAAATATATTTAATAAGTTAATATAAGAATAAAATATATATTTTGAATATTTTTAAATGAAGATAAAAATAAAATATATGTTTGATCTTCAAACTACCTTTATCCCTAATTTTGTTCGGTTTAATCTTTTTAAACAAAAAAGGGTGGCACAAATATATAAGATATATAAAAAATATTGTCAACATTGAACTAAACAGTGGCCTAGGCTTAGTGGTTTGTGTCTTGGTGTTCTTGTTGGGCTTGATCGATCAACTGAAAACCGCCAAGAGGAGATGAATTGGCCTTTAATATCTTTGGTGTGGAATCAATAAAAGATAAGAATTAGACACAAGATTTATAGTGGTTCGACTTTCTCAACCAAAGTCTACATCCGCTACCTTATCTCCATACTAGGGATTTCAACAAATTCACTAATTTGTTCTCTTTTTTTTTCTAGGCTCAAGAGTAACCTTTACAATTCTCTAGTTTTTCAAGGCTAAACTATAATCACTCCCCTTTTACAAAGGATAAGAAATGTAAACAAGAAACTCACAAGGTAGGTGTTTACAAAGATTTAAGCTCACAAGAATAAAAACAAAAGATATTCAATTAAGCTCTATACACTTATGTACAAGAGAAAAAATGAAGAAAATAAGAATGAAAACTCTTTTCTCTTGATCTCTAAGCTTGAATAAGTGTAGTTCTCCTTCTTCAAGTGTCTTGAACTTGTTTTTATATGCTAGAATGAGTTACTAGCCGTTTGGGAAGGTTTGAAGCCGTTGAAAGACTTTTTGCACACAAAGTTTCGAAACTTTGGGAAGTTTCGAAACTCTTTGAAAGAGCCATTGGAAAAATATGATCGTTGGAGCCAAGGTGTCGAAACTTTAGGGAAAGTTCTGAAACTCTTGAGATTGTTTCGAAACTTTTTGGAAAACTGTCTTGGAAAGTTTCGAAGCTCTTGTAGAAGTTTCAAAACTTCTAGTCAAAATACTCATTTTAAGGTTTTTGTTGGACATTGAATTATTTTTGAAAACTTTGAATAAATTCAATTTAGCCCAACAAACATTTTGCCCTTATTTGTTATATCAAAATATAAGTTCTAGAATCTCCCCCTTTTTGATATAACAAAACCTTTGAAAGATAATTTTTGACAAAAAGTTCCCCTTATTAAAACATTTAATAAAAAAGATAATTATTAGGAAAATATTAAAGCTCCCCTTTTTCATTCTTGAAATTATTTT